CCAATGGCCTGAGGGACAGTGAACTGGCCCCCTGTTTAAAAAGTTTGAGGACCCCTGCTGTACACCGTCGGTGGGAATAGAAATCAGTGCAGCTATTTTGGAAAACACTGAGGATCTTAAAAAAATTAGAAAACAGAACTTGATATCACCCAGTAACCCCACTTCTGGGTGTATATACAAAAGATTTATGTATGTCAAAGAGATATCTACACCCTCATGTTAATCGCAGCTTTATTCACAATAGCCAACATATGAGAACAACCCATGTTTTCACTGACAAATGAGTGGATAAGAACTTGTAGTATAAATTCCTACAATAATCTCCTTATGTGTCTCTTTGTATCTATTCTTGCCTATTTCAGACCAATCCTAACTGCTGCAACCTTAAGGAAAAATCCAAACGTATTTTGGAAATATATGAGCATAAAAAGACAAAGGATAAGAAGCGTTCATGTAGTTTTAAGTACATTTGGATTTTTTTGTTTAAAGTCTGCCATGTAGAGAACAGGTCTGAGATAGGTAAGAATTGGTACAAGAAAAATCTATAAAAATGCTATGTCTGTAACCTAGGCCAGAGACAATACTGACATAGACCAAGGCAACAACAACAGTAAGGATGGAGAAAACAGAGTCCAGACATATTTAAGTGGGTGAAATTAACAAAGTGTGGTGGGATTAGGAAGGGAATGTTTTCAAGGAAGACAAACAGTATGTACAGGGGCTAAGAGTCTGAGCTCTAAAGCAGGACAGCTTGGTTTCAGAACCCAACTCTGCCATTTTCAGGCCCCCTGACCCTAGACAATCCGTTTAACTTCTCTGTTCTCATGTCCTTCATCTGAAAAATGGCATTATCATAGTATCTACCTCACTGTATGGTAAAATTTAAATAAACTAAAGCATATCACTTAATTTAACTTAGACCAGTGCTTATTACACACTAAGCACACTGTAAGTTTTTGTTATCATAGTGACAGTGATACCACTAGCTTATACAGGTGATCCTAGAAAGCAAGGTTTGAGAAAGGAAGTAATGAGTTTGATTTTGAACATTTCTAAGAGAGAGTTTTAGGTAGGACATTCAAATTAGCAAGTAGATATACCAATCTAAGGGAAGCCTGGGCCAAAGAGAGAAATCTGGTAATCTAACATATGAATATTCAGTAAATCAATGAAAATATGAGATTTTCTAAGGAGAAATGACACAAGGGCCTATGACAGAGCTTCATAAAAATTACAATTTTATGGAAGGGTAAAGGCAAAAGACTGGCCAGGGAAATGGCGCAATATTCAGAGATATTGAAGGAAGTCTGGAAGAGTGAGATATCACAGGAGCTCAAGGCAGAGCTTTGTTCAGTAAAGAAGAAGTGATTAACTCTTTTAGGTGGTGCTGAGAGATTACAACAAAACTATTGGGTTTAGCTATGTGGAGGTTATCATTTTTTTTTAATTGTTGGGGATTCATTGAGGATATAAGATGTTTCACACACTGAGACCCCACCCCCCTCCCTCCTTCCCTCTATGGAGGTTATCAATAACCATAGCCAGTATATTTTGGGAGGAATGAGATGAGGATACAGAAGGGAATCGAGTCAGTAAATGTAGTTTCCTATGAAAATAAAGATGAGATGGGCCATTGTTTAATTGAGAAATGGTTTAAGAAAGCCTTCTTTTTTCTTTCTGTAAAGATGACTTAAAAATAATTAAATGTTGATGACAATTCCAATAGTCCAGTGATTCTCAATCTTCCTAATACCATGACCTTTTAATATAGTTCCTCACATTGTGGTGACTCCCAACCATAAAATTATTTTTGTCATTACTTCGTAACTAATTTTACAACTATTATGAATCATAATGTAAATATCTGATATGCAGGATGTATTTAGGTGACCCCTGTGAAAGGGTCATTTGACATCCAAAGGTGGTCACAACCCACAGGTTGAGAATAGTCTATAGTGAAAGGTTCTGAGAAGGCCTGAGATATTAGGGTTCAGAAACAAGAAGTTGGAGAAGAGAGTTTGGCTCTATTATACATATGCAGATAAAGAGGAGAAGATGTAGGTTTCTACATTTTACTGTGAAGGAGCATTGAGAGAAAGGTGTAAAGAGATAAAAAAGGTTTTAAATTTTCTTGCGGAGACAGGTAATTTAGTCAGAGAAACATAGTACAGTAGAACAGCATGACACAACTGTTGACATCTGTGAACATGAATGTAGGGAATCCCTTCAGCTCTACTGTGTGTAATTCTTACCAGCAGTGGTTGGCTACTCGGGAGCAGACCTGACATGGAGAAATAATTAGGTTAATCGAAATTTGGAAGTTTAATAAATACCACTCAAAGAAAAAGAGTTTCTAGAGTTTTGTTAAGAAAATGATTTAAATGATTTACTATGAAATCTAAACTGAATAAAAAAGGAAGTGAGGAAAGGAAAGGACCAATCCCTGGGAATAAGAGACCTAGACTTGCCAATGGACTTGAAGGACAATAGAGATAGAAATAACTCAACAGCAAAGTTGGAAGAAGAAAGTGGCAAGTGTGTCAATTTCTTGGTGTGTAGGATGGTAAAATTAGATTCTTTCTCTAGCCCCAATTATATACCACAGGTATTCCCACATTCCACTTACACAGGATTTGCAGGTGAGGTGACCAAAAACAATTTTAGACTTTTAAACTTAGTGTAAAACTGAGAAGGCTGAGAGATAGTCTACTCATGGAGAAAGTTGGAGTATTTCTCCAATCCCCTTCCCCCTAGATACCTGTACCACCACAAAGGAGTGTTTGTGAAAGGAATATATATGAAGAGCAACTCCCCGAATAAGAAGACTAGCAAGAAATAAAAAACGAGGCAGACAAATCTGCCTCATTGGTATAAGGAAATTTATTGGGAAACCTACAAAGAGAAGTATTGTCTTGGGTTATAGCAAGACAGATAGATCTCTGTATTGTTACTTCCCAGACCCAGGTTTGTGTACTATAGGAAAAAGTATATGTCTGTCAGAAGGACAATTAAAACTAACCCTTCCAGGAAAAAGCAAGAATGTTCTGTATCTCATAGCCTGTAATTTGTGTGATAATATCATGGTGTTTTGACCTAAGCGCAGGATTTGTGGTAAGTACATGCTCTTACACAAGGAACAGTAGACAAAGTAGTCACCTTAAAGGCATTCCTGGAACTAAGGTTATTCAGAAGTCTACACAGTAGATTAGTATCCAAGATGAAGTGACTTTAACTTCCACCAGAAGGAAAGGGAAGAGTCTCCTACCTACCATGGTAAGATAGATTTTGAGACTATCTATCTTAGTATCTGCTTCCTAGATTTAGAAGAGGTCAATGTCCTCTGTACTTACTGTAAAAACAGCAAGAATCAAACCAACAAAGTGTATTTATACAGGTGAGAGAAAAAAACAAAGGTGCTTTTGACCTGTACCCTACAAAGTCTTATTGTTAAAGAAAACACTTACATTTGGAATATTAATTTCCTAGATGGAACCATTTGAGTATATGCCGCCATCCAACATGTAACTAGGAGGTGGGGTATAGATGTGGAGCAGAGTTGAAGGTGTTTGGAAATAAGGTCAAAATTCTGTGAGGCCAGGATAGTTGAAAAGTTATTCATGAACATGGTATAGCCATGTAGATGCTGACATGATTTGGAATAGAGAAGATGATTGTGTGCCAAGTGCAAATGTTATCTTAAGTGACATTAGTAGGTGCTAAGGAGATCAGAGTATCATGGTTAAAAGAATGGGAAAAGAAACATACACTCAAATTACACAACCTTTGGAGAAAAATGGGTCACTTTGTGTGACTAAAGGATTAATGTTCTAGAAGAGATAGTAGGGAGAAAGGAGGACACTAACTTCATCTCTCAAAGCTGAGGTATATATATGGAGTTGAAAACATTCAACATGAGGCATGGCATCCTCGAGGAACTATCCCATGAGGTACCAAGGTGGAGAAATTCTCCATGAAGAGGTTGAGGCCCTTACTGACTATATACCATCAATATTAGCAGAAAAATAATACGAAGCTTTGGGAAGAGTGGTCTGAGGGGAAGGCATGAGGGAATGGATGGATCAGACAAAAGAACAAAGAATGAGGTTATGAATGAAATTATGTTTGTAAAATATCTCAGGGGTTTTATTTTAATTGGCTCTTATTGTTAAAATTTCCATTGATGATGCCTGATGCAGTGGCACGTACCTGTAGTCCCAGCTACTCATGAGGCTGAGGCTGGAAGATAGCTTGAGTCCAAGAGCACTGGACTTTAGTGTGCTTTGCCGATGGGGTGTTTGTACTAAGTTCAGCATCAATAAGGTGACCTCCTGGAAGCGGGGGGGGGGGGAAAGGGGGGTGCAGAACCAGGTTGCCTACAGAGGGGTGAACCAGCCCGGGTTGGAAATGGAGCAGGTCAAAGCTCCCTTGCTGTTCAGTAGTGGGATCACACTTGTGAATAGCCACTGCACTCCAGCCTGTGCAACATAGCAAGACCCTGTCTCTAAATGAAAAAAATTATTGATGGAAATGATAAGTGCTATACTAGTCAGTTAGGCTACCTTAACAAAATCCACAAACTAGGTGGCTTAAATAACAAAAATGTGTTTCTCATAATTCTGGAGACTGGATTAAGGTCTGGTAGGATTTGGTGTCTGGTGAGGGCTCCTTCCCCAGGATGCCATCTTCTCCCTGTGTCTTTCTCTCTGTTTGGCAGAGAGAGAGAGAGACCAAGCTCTCTGATGTCTCCTCTTATAAGGACATTAATCCCACAGACCACGACCCCATCCTCATGACCTCATCTAACCCCGATTGATTGTCTTCTGAAGGCCCCATCTCCAAATACTATCACATCAGAAGCTAGAGATTCAACATACGAATTGAAAGGGGGCAAAAATGTTCAGTCCATAACAAATGTTCAGTCCTTCACAAATGTCCATAACTACTTGTTATGATCACAGATAGAGCTGTTCTCATGGCATATTTTTGTTGTTGTTAAATAGAACTCAAGCACAGGAACCAAATACCGAACAGCGAGGAACCACATGATGTGTAAACTAATGTGTTTATGCATTACTTACTCTTCCACCATTGGTGGACTGTCAACTATCACTGGGACCTCCACCAACCTGATCTTTGCTGAGCATTTCAATACGTAAGTAACATTGAATTGGCAATTTAACAAGTGTGTAAATTATTCTTACTTGATTAAGAGAGTTCAGGGACAGAAATGATATGTTAACTTTCCTTTGTTTCCCCATCAGGACATCTGTAAGTCTGTAAACCTCTCTTTGTACTGAGATTTAAATAGAGAGGGCATAGGGTATTAACTTGCACCTACAGATACCTTAGGTCAGCTCAGAGGAGGTAACTGTTAGCCAAGAGTGAAGGACACATTCAGCTTAATCACTCTAATCAATAGGGAAGACATTTTTCTTCATTACAAATAATACTGCAAAGGGTAGTTAGCTAAAGTAAAGAGGAATTATTTATCTAGTGTTTGAGGACTGGTATTTGAACCTAAATAATGAGTGGTGGATTGAGGTGCTAATTATGGGAAACCTGGTGTTTGAAATCAAACAAGACTTGAAAGATTGTACAAGTATAAGAAATGTTAGTAATAAGAAATGTCATAAATGTCAGACTGATTCTACTAACAAGACAGATAATAGTCAGAGTTCCAAGAAGGTGGGCAGCATTAAGGAAGCCTAGGAACAGGTCATGGGTTCACAGAAAAATTAGAGCTCAGAGGCAAGAAACAGATTCACAAATTCTATGAAGTTTCTGAAATTATTTGCAAAATGTTCTGCATGTAAATATTCTCCATGGAATTCAAGGGATTTCAACTTTCATTCTAGAAAGAACGTGAGCTTATGTACAAAGGACTGTAGTATAAAGGCTTATTATCAATACCATACAGACCCCCACGTGTAATTATCTCTATGAATGCACATCTATTATGTATCCTCCAACAACCGATTTAGAAAGAAACTATTAAAAGACTTTTGGTTTAAATAAATGAGAGACTTCTGAAATTCACAGTGCCAGAGAGGATGTATCCACTATAGTGCCCAATTCAGGACAGGAAATGTACCAGATTTCTTTCTTTCTGAGATTCATATACTTTCTCATCATTTCCCCAAGGGAAGAGATTCCACATCTTAGTCCCCTCCATGAGTTTCTTTTTCTACCATTTATCCAAAATTCTTATTGTTTTATCTTTGTTGATATTAAGAATCGATGGCTTCCACCATTCCTGTGAAAATTAGGTGATATAGTTGAAGTAATTAGTACTGAGATTGAAGAAATTAGTAGAGTGCAAAACATCTTTGTGTCTTGCACAGTGTATCAACCAAACTTTCTGTTTTATTTAACTTTTTCCTTTTACTCTTTGAATGAATTTATCCATTTGTAATGGAAGATTGGGAACATTATAGCACTTTGAACGAAATATTTCAGTAACTATTTTTCCTAGTTGCCTGACCTTCTAATTCTCCTAATCATTAAGAAATCTTTTAAATTTAGAGAATACCTAAAATGTACTTCAAAAGTTAGTGGGTTTTTTTCCTTCAAAAGGTTGCCTTTATATTAGAAATTATATGCAATGTGAAAAAAATCTCAAAGGATCATTTTTTGATATAAAGTACAAGAATAGAAGAGAAAAAAATCCCCTTACGTGAGCGAGATATTTAATGACATTTTTAAAAAAATGGTGGCACTTCAAAGTACAATAGCATCCTAAAGCAACAATGGAAAGGAATGCATTCATTTCCATTGGGAAATGTTACAAAGGCTTAAAACTTCAAAAAATATTACATTATTTGTTTAGATGTTTGGATCTGGAGAGAAATCACCCTTTATCCACATATGTACTACAATAATGCCACGTTGGCACTACCTGCCACATTTTCAGCAGTATCAATGGTTGTTTGGAACAATTTCATTTTGGATCTCTCCCAGCTCTAAAGCCCTCAGAGTTAATGGCATCCTACAATTTACATTAGATAAAGATAACATCTTACAAATAAACTATTGGAGGAAAAGATTGTATAAAATATTCTGTAGCTCTATTCTTTTTATATATATATGCCCCTTATATACATACACATAAAATGTCTTTACATAAAATGTATATATTGTAATAATAATGGCCATAAATGTTGTTTGTTCTCTTTTTTAAACCAAGAAAATAATAATGATTTCTGAGTCGGCTAAAAGTTACTCAGTGCACACAAAAGCAGACCTTCATTCATCCACTCAATCAACAAACATTTTTTGAGGACTGATAATGAAGTACACTGTTTTTAATTCTATTAAAGAACACAAAAAATAAAACATTCTGAGAAGAAGACTCCATCTGATTATCTAAACAAAACATACATATGTGAAAAACATTACAATTTTTTTTAATTTCAAAATATTATAGGGGTAGAATCGTTTTTGGTTACAATGATCACTTTTGTAATGAAAACCATTAAACTTTGTAAACGTAATATCATTTGCTTTTTGACAGATAGGTGGTGATAGGTATTGAACCTTTGCCAGATAACTTACATACGTTACATATCCTTGCTGTGGAGGTGGTATACAATGACAATCAAAAACATAGGCCCTGGAGTTAGAATGCCTGTGTTCAAATCCCAGCTCTTCCATTCACTAGCTAGGTAATTTTGGACAATTATTTAAGCTTTCTAAGCCTTTTATCTTTCCAGAAAAATTATGAAAATAATATAATCTCTCTCTTCTTTTTTTTTTTTTTTTTTTGAGACAGAGTCTTACTTTGTCACCCTCAGTAGAGTGCTGTGACATCATAGCTCATAGTAACCTCCAGCTCTTTTGCTTAAGTGATTCTCTTGCCTCAGCCTCCCAAGTAGCTGGGACTACAGGTGCCTGCCACAACGTCTGGTTATTTTGTTGTTGCAGTTTGGCTGGGTCTGGGTTCGAACTTGCCAAGCCACCCTCAGTATATGAGGCCAGCACCCTACCCACTGAGACACAAGTGCCACCCAATATAATCTCTCTTTTAGAGAGCTGTTTTGAGTTTTATATAAAATAAGTATCACTTAGGGCCTAGCACAAAGCATGTGCTCAATAAATGCGAATTATTATTGCTACTAAAGTTGAGAGAAGTGAAGCTCAATTTAGCAGATTAAAAAGCAAACTCAGTGGGATCCCAAAGGTAAAACTTTACCTTCCTACAAACATAACTCAAGGTGTGTCCTAAAAAAGGGCTATCGCTTTGTGCAATATCCCTTAGTCTACACAACCTGAAACAATTTCAAGAGAGGTAAACACCATATATATGGGTAAAATGATCGAAAATAATTCATAAAGTCAAAGTTCCAAGGTCCATAACAGGTGTTCTTCGGAAAGAGTGGAATAGTCCGTGCAAGTTGCACACATTACAATAGCAATGTGCAGATCAGCGCTAGAGTTTGGAGACAGGAAACCAATTAGGAGTCTGTGATCAAAGGGCTGACAAGGGATGAAAGGCAGATCCAGGCTAGTTTTGAAGCTGTAGCCTCCTACAGCTTTTGCACTCAAGACATTGAGATGTCAAAAGGTTGTGAGTAATTAAGTGGGAGGATTTGAAGGTAAGGAGGAGCTAGGGCAACTCGGGGGACTTTTTCCATAAAGCTGGGTAGGTGATGATGGCAACCATGAACTCTTGAGAAGACATGGGATGTTCAGGTTCATTGGAAAAAGTAATACGTTTGAATTTGAATCCATTGAAATGGCCTGTGGAGAGCTTATCCACAGGAGATTTTCAGCATGTGTTTGAAAATGCATTACTTGAGCTAGTTATTCATCTGGGGATCTACATGTATGTAGATATGCAAATACAGAGAGAGAGAGATAGAGATGAGCAAAAATTAAATTCTTGAGTGCAGAAATGGTCACACAGGGAAAAAAATATTAAAAGAATCAAGATTAGGACACACTCTTGGTTGAAATGGACAAAAAAGAAGATGAGGAAAGGTTATCCAGGTAAGAGATGGATCAAGTGTGTGGGGGCCTGGAAAACCAAAGCAGGAGACCATCTTCAAAATGGAACATGAGTCAAGGGCATGTGCAGCAGAGAGTCAAGGCAGATGATGGCCAAGAAAAGGGCTTTGTTCCTCATCGGCTTTCAAATAGAGGGCAGGGTCAGTGGAATAGCAAAGATGAGGGTAGAATTCACACTGAAAACGGTTAAGGAATGAGTATGTAGTGGGGAGGGAAGGCAGCAAGTTGAAATGTTTCTTTCAAGTTTGACAAAGAAAAAAAGAAGAGAACAAGCTTGGGATTGTCAGAGGCAGAGCCTCCTTTTAGAATGAGGTTGAAATGTCTGTTCAGTTTTACAGTCGGGGAAAGTGGACAGTAAAAACAGAGACACATGAGATTCTGGAAAAAAATAAAACAATGTTAAACAGAATAAAGGAATGAAATTGGAAGCAAGAATGGAGATGTTGGTAGGTTTTTTTGTTTGTTTGTTTGTTTTAGCCAGAGTCTCACTATGTTGCCCTCGGTAGAGTGCAGTGGCTGTCATAGCTCATAGCAACCTCAAACTCCTGGGCTCAAGTGATTCTCTGGTCTCAGCCTCCCAAGTAGCTGAGACTACAGGCACCCACCACAACACCCAGTTATTTTTAAGGATGGGGTCTCTCTCTTGCTCAGACTGGTCTTGAACTCCTGAGCTCAAGCGATCTGCCCATCTCAACCACCCAGAGTGCTGGGATTACAAGCCTGAGCTACCACACCCGGCCTGAGATGTTGGTCTTGAAAGAGAAGGATGTGTCCTTAGTGATAGCAGGAGGGAAGCAGAGGACAAGTGAAGACAGACATTTCAAAACATGTGAAAACATGTGAAATCCCTCATTTCACAAAAGAGGAAACCAAGGCCCAGAGAGTTTCAGTGATGATAATTAGCCCAGGAGCTGGGAGGTGGAGGCAGGTGGCCTGAGTCCCAGCCTTTCCAAACTGCAGCCTCACTGCCTCACAAGTCTGAGACCGTAGAACAGGGTGCCAGGCCTATGGTCACAGACCATTTGCTTTCTAAAAGAAAGCAAATTTTCTGTTGCCAGAGATAAGTAAGAACTATCTGAGCATTCACATTCTCTTGTTGCATTTTCTTCGCATAAAATGTAAACACGTGCATATAATAAATCCTATTTA